AAATTGCCAAGTAAAAGAATTCTAGACACTCATTCTGAACTTGCTTCATGTTGTTCACCCATAATTTGTTCTCCTTAATTAAGGTTATGCCCATTTAATAAAAAAACTCTTTTTTTGTGAAATAAAACTCTGGATTTTGATTCTTTCACCAAGGCATAGATTTGAGAATAAATCAGAATAAAGAAATTATATAGGAAAAGTTTAAGGTAAAAGAAAAAAGATGATTCAGCAATGAGCCAGTAAGATTCATATTCTTGAATGCCAAACTAAAATGTAACGAAGTACGAATTTTATCAACTCCTCTTCAATTTTGGGCTACAATATTCATAATACATCATTAACCCATCTTTATATTACTGGGATACATTTAAGTCAAAGAGATTCAGGCATTGATCCTGATTTCATTAAGCAAAAAAACAATTAAAATACTTTATAAGATGAATCAATTATTAAAAAAGTTGATTAATCTTTAATCAGATTAATAATAAATTATTCACACAGGCAATAGCAATAATCAGCTTGGTCTAGCAAAACGGATGCTCAAAGGAACCATCTTAACTTCAGAAATTACCACATTTACAGTTTTATTCAGTTTCTTTTTCAACCCATTAAAAGTTAGCAGTACAAATAATGGAACCCAGGATGATCTGATGATTAACGATTAAAATTGCACTAAAATTGAACAAATAATTGATAAATAGAAAACATGCAGAAGAAGATTAATTACTTTACAGATGGGGCAGATGACTTTGAGGCCAACAGCACGGGCCTCGAGCTGAGACCCTCTGGCCTTCTGGTTCTTCTCTGCATGTTTTCTCTGCGCCTCGATCTTCTGCTTTCCCCGAGTCATCTCTCTCTGTAACTCACTGTGTTGTATGTACGATGATGCAGTCGGGCTTCAAAATTGGATGACGGGACGAGTCGATTGAGAATGAGGGAGAAAGGGGGCGGGGACCGGGTCAACTCGCGGTCACAACGGATCCGTATGTAAGCGTGTGTTTTGCACGGAGGAAGGTGAGATGACGCATGGAAAGAGGAAAATCTTCTACTTAATGATTTAAAAATAGGGTTAATTTCACAAACGATCATTGAAGTTACATGAAAATTATAAAACGATCACTGAAGTTTAAAACTTTCAGAAACGGTCACTCAATTTTCACGGGGTTTTAGAAATGGTCACCGAAGTTAGTTTTAGGACTTTTATGTTTTAATTGAAACATAAAGCATCAAAACACGGTCACTTAAAAGTTAGAGGACCTCAACTTCAAAATTTATTGTGAATAATTTTATTCGCGTGTCTAATCAATTTTCTTCGCTTGAAGGATTTTGGGCCAAATTGAATCCGGAGGTTTCATTGTGAATAGACTCAATTAGGGGATTACACATGGTCTTAGCACTGCCAATTGAAGATTTGATGGTAGAATTGAGTATTTGTAGCAGAAGAGATTCATCAAAGTCATGGGAACCAAACTTTTCGCAAATACCGCGAACTTCAGCCACAAATTGATTGACTTCATAGCAAAATTGATTTGGACCCATGCTTGGGCAAGGTGCGCCAGGTGGAGACGATTCTAACCCAAGTGGTCCTCGACCGGCATTCAACCGGACAGCGCCGGAATCTGTAGAAATGGTGTTCGTTATCGCGCAGCTCGCAAAAGGCAGTATGTCAAGGTTTAATTCGGGCTGAACAATTTATCTTTGGGCTACATTGTTTCCATGGGTAGGGTCTTTCAGGGGTGGGTTATCGACCGATGGTTGGCTCCGGCAAAGTTGGTGGCCGGAAGAAGGGATTCCGACAGTTTGCAAAAAATTAGGCAGCGAACTTTGAAATTCATTTCCGACTAGATTACTACGAGTTAGAGGGAGTTCTTTGGATGTAATTGAAGAAGAAGAAGATGTGCTCTTTCCACTAGTAGCAATATCCGGTGGTTTTGGAGGGCATAGATTGCCGGAATTTGGATCCATAATATGCATCCAAAAGGGGTGAAAATCGCCCCTTAGAAAATTATTCATAATGAATTTTGAAGTTGAGGTCCTCCAACTTTTAAGTGATCGTGTTTTGGTGCTTTATGTTTCAAAAATGAATTTTGTAGTTGAGGTCCTACATCTTTTAAGTAACGGTGTTTTGGTGCTTTAGGTTTCAATTAAAACATAAAAATCCTAATACTATCTTCAGTGACCATTTCTGAAACCGCGTGAAAGTTGAGTGATCGTTTCTGAAAGTTTTAAATTTCAGTGACCGTTTTGTAATTTTCATGTAACTTCAGTGATCGTTTGTGAAATTAACCCTTTAAAAATATGAAAAAATAACAGAAATGTAAATAGTCATTTTTTTTTTCGAACGTGTGGTTTAAAATGAACATGAAAAAAGTGATTTTTGAAGAATCAAAATCAAATAAGACCTGGTCAAAAGAAAATGGAACAAATTTAGGGTCCATAATAAAAAAATAAAAGAGACATGACAAAAGCAATAACATCAAATTTTACGAGTTTAGGCTGTGTTTTCCTAGTTTTAATATTATTATTGTTGTAAGAACTTTAATTTTTATTCCTTTTATTTAATTAATTTATTTAACCGAATATTCAAATAATGGACAAGAAAATAAAAGAATTAAAATAAAAATAAAAAACAAATGCACCTTTTGGAGCCTAAGCTCCCACCTCTTAGTACCAGAGCTTGTATTAGGCAACCAAAAATAGAGTTGATCGTCTTTTGTCATGCATTTCCCATAGGCATGACGTTTTTCGCTCAAGTCCGTCTAGGCCTAGCTTTCCCAAAATCTAGTACATTGCAGTCTCGTTGTAACCATATTGGAAGGTAATGATTGTAATGTCCCTAAAAAAAGAGTGAACTCACAGCAGTGGGATATTGAAATACCCTTATTTCTATTGTCGTTCCACATTTTCATTAATAATGACGTGACAAAATTGTTGATCTAATTGAACAACATAGAATAAGACTACTTTGTGCACACTTTGGTTAACATTTCTTATGTGTCAAAAATCTAACCATTAATTAGAGGAAGTGTTCTTAAAATCTTGTATACAAATCCGCCATCACACAAGAGTATAAACCAAGGTTTACATAGAGCATGGCTCAACAATATACACTTTGATTTGACATGTTAACTTGATCTTATTTCGCTCCTAAAAATATATATACATACACATACAATTTATGGTCAACTATAAAAATCTACATCGTTAGAAATTATAATCGAGTGACCAAGTTGGGGAAAAAAAAACTAATGACTAGAATGAGAATCCGCAAAATAACCAGCCTCTACTAAATAATAACCTAACCTTCAAATAAAATTTCAATAACTCTCCACAATACTTCTAACATTCAGCAAAGAGTGTACAGTTGATCAAGTCCAACCTCTTTTCAAGAACATGAAACTAAAACTTCAGTAACGCCATAAAAGTTAAAAAGGAAAATATTACTTTAAAAAGTGCTTCTACAAGTCTTAGCCAATCATACTTTTGTAATCCCATAATAGACTAACTCAAACTGAGCTAATAATAACTTCGGTGACCATTTCTGAAACCGCATGAAAGTTGAGTGATCATTTCTGAAAGTTTTAAATTTCAATTACCGTTTTGTAATTTTCATGTAACTTTAGTGATCGTTTGTGAAATTAACCCTTTAAAAATATGAAAAAAATAATAGAAACGTAAATAGTCATTTTTTTTTTCGAACGTGTGGTTTAAAATGAACATGAAAAAAGTGATTTTTGAAGAATCGAAATCAAATAAGACCTGGTAAAAAGAAAATGGAACAGGGTCCATAATAAAAAAAGTAAATAAATAAAAGAGACGTGACAAAAGCGATAACATCAAATTTTACGAGTTTAGGCTGTGTTTTCCTAGTTTTAATATTATTATTGTTGTAAGAACTTTAATTTTTATTCCTTTTATTTAATTATTTTATTTAACCGAATATTCAAATAATGGACAAGAAAATAAAAGAATAAAAAATAAAAAATAAAAAAAAAATGCACCTTTTGGAGCCTAAGCTCCCACCTCTTAGTACCAGAGCTTGTATTAGGCAATCAAAAATAGACACCTGGTACCCGAGCTTGCATTAGGCAACCAAAAATAGAGTTGATCGTCTTTTGTCATTCTTTTCCCATGGGCATGACTTTTTTTCGCTCAAGTCCCATATTGGAAGGTAATGATTGTAATGTCCCTAAAAAAAGAGTGAACTCACAACAGTGTGATATTGAAATACCCTTATTTCTATTGTCGTTCCACATTTTCATTAATAATGACGTGACAAAATTGTTGATCTAATTGAACAACATAGAATAAGACTACTTGTGCACACTTTGGTTAACATTTCTTATGTGTCAAAAATCTAACCATTAATTAGAGGAAGTGTTCTTAAAATCACTGTATACAAATCCGCCATCACACAAGAGTATAAACCAAGGTTTACATAGAGCATGGCTCAACAATATACACTTTGATTTGACATATTAACTTGATCTTATTTCGCTCCTAAAAATATATATACATACACATACAATTTATGGTCAACTATAAAAATCTACATCGTTAGAAATTATAATCGAGTGACCAAGTTGGGGGAAAAAAAATCTAATGACTAGAATGAGAATCCGCAAAATAACCTGCCTCTACTAAATAATAACCTAACCCTCAAATTTTCAAATAAAATTTCAATAACTCTCCACAATACTTCTAACATTCAGCAAAGAGTGTACAGTTGATCAAGTCCAACCTCTATTCAAGAACATGAAACTAAAACTTCAGTAACGCCATAAAAGTTAAAAAGGAAAATATTACTTCAAAAAGTGCTTCTACAAGTCTTAGCCAATCATACTTTTGTAATCCCATAGTAGACTAACTCAAACTGAGCTAATAAAAAATCAGGTTCTTGTCTACACTTGCATATTTTACATATGCTTCGAGCTTTGGCAGCACTTGGTCTTTCTTTTTCATAAGCATTGCAAGATCCCACCAGGACACAACATTGGCAACTAGCTAGTTGAAACTGCAAAAATTGTATATGAAATGAGTTTTATCTGCACAAGATAGGAACATTCAATTTATAAACTCAAAGTAAAAGCATCATAGATAGAGTAGATACCGAATCTGATTCCTTATGAATTGGATACACTACTACACTTGACATGATTAGTAAGGAAGATTGGATAGCAACAGAGTATTAAATAAGAAAAATAAGCCAAAATTTTCTTTCATAGTACTATCTATTCCTATTCACTCCTGAATGCCAAATATGTGAAAGCCATCAATTTGTAACTAGATAGGGCGGGTACCTTGATCCGAAGATTCCACTGAATCTTCAGTCAGTATCATCACATCTAAAATCTAGCTTCTCCAGGTTTTTACAGAAATTAAAGAAAAAAGAACTAGAAAGAGAAAATGAGAGGCTCACCATCATGATGCAATGTCAACTGGAACATAATAAATAATGTGGTACGGCTGCTGAATCAAGCTCATAAGAACCATCTGGCAGCCTTCCACCCTGCTTGTCTTTCAAGCAAAAAGCAGGTATCTGATGGGAGAATTTAAGAATCTCAGTCAGTAGTATGGTCATTGGTTTGACACCAACACCCTTTTCTCCCACTTGAGACTTGAAAACCGACTTGTAACCACGCACTAACTCAAGAGGTGCACATACTATAGATATGTCATCCACATCCAGAATCTCCACAATCTCGTATTTACAGTTCTCCAATTCAGCAAGTTTCATTTTTACATTCCAATTCTCATAACAAGCCCAGATCTGACCTACTTCAGGAAGTATGGTGAACACACCCTCCTTTTCCAGGGGGGATGGTTCTATTTTCAACTGGTGAGAAAATGGAAGAGTGCCAACTATTTTGTGAGTTTTTCCCTTCTCAACCATAAATTTTCCACAACATATTGGTATGCTTTTATCAACCCATCTTACCATGTCCCTTGATGACGGACAGTGAAGAAGCCATGCTACGTGATAAGTATTCTCTGGAAGGCTGTCAATCTTCTTAATCTGACAATAGTACTTCGGTAAAACATCCTCATCACTGTATACCGCCCATATCTGACCAACCTGAAACTTCTCTTTGGATTTATCTGCGTCAAAGTTGTAAAACTCCGACTCGGGAATTTCCACAGAAACTGGTTCACCGTTGCAACTAGGATTTAGAGGCTCACTACAGGAAACACACATTTTAGACCTAATATATCTCCGAGGGTACCGCTTACCAAAACCTCCAAGGTTATTTCCTGTCAGATTATTGCCATCATCTTCAAGAGAGTCACAACTTTCACTGGATTCTGATGCCATTTTTCTTTTCTTGCTATTTCTTTTTGAGCTGTCCATGTGACCATGCTTGTTGATTTTGGCATCCACGTGCTCAGTATTTTTATTTGGCCTGGACTCATCAGCAACTTCCTTGTTTAAACAACCCAGAAAAAGTAACGGTTGGTTGAGTATGGAGCTTCCAGATGCAGCTTGTGAGCCAACTTTAAATGGGCGCTGGCTTGTGGCGTCTTTCTGTGGGGGAAGAGCAGGCCAGCTCCGATTAGCTCCTCCAGATGATATCCGAAAAGAATTCATTTCATCTTCATCACTGGAGTTTCTACAGGTTTGACAAGTTAATATCCCATTGGCTGCGTGCTTGTAATACAGGACCCAACATGAACAAGATGGGCAACCAATCCAGGTTGGTTGGTTGAAATATAATCCTTGTTGAGTCAAACCAGTGTTACACTCCATCGCTGACACAGACCGAAAAGAATTCATTTCATCTTTGTCACTGGAGTTTCTACAGGTTTGACAAGTTAATATCCCATTGGCAGCGTGCTTGTAATACAGGACCCAACATGAACAAGATGGGCAACCAATCCAGGTTGGTTGGTTGAAATATAATCCATGTTGAGTGGAACGAGTGTTACACTCCATCACTGATACAGAACAGCCCCCAAATTCAAATAATACACAATCTGATTTATGATCCATAATTAATGGCAATAAATATAATTATGGCAATAAATATAAAGCACAAAAGTTTAACCCTTTAGTATAGTGACTAATACTCTCCATATTCCTAAAGTATAAAAAATTATTCATAAAAGATCAGGACCAATATCTTAGAACATGCGACTCACGTCATTAAATTTATAATTGTAGTATAATTACGGCATTAACTTTGATAAAGTAAACCAACCCAGCAATTATAGCATGCCTTAAAATTTACTTCAAAGCTCAAACGATCATAATCATTCCACACAATTCATAGCAGAAATAAACGAGAATTCACGCACGAAGATTAAGGGACTAAAGAGAAGTAAAAATAATGAGTTGGCAAACCGTGTAAAACTTTGTCAGATTATAACACGAATCTTCAGAATATTTCATAAGGGTGTCCATACTAGTGACACGATGCATCAGACTCCAGGTGCAGTAAAAAGTGTGGAAGGGTTAGCGAAGGCATGCTCCATAAGCTAACTCTCAGATGACTCAAGTAGTAAGCAATGATTCTCACGCTATTATTATTTTATTTTTTTTGAAAGGTAATCAAATATTTTTGTTAGAAATATTGGGTCTAACTCCACCTAATAAAACCGGTTTATTAAGGGAGGATTGCCCTCACCTTATTAAGTGAATCATTTATATTTTTCCAAACAATGTGGGATTCTAACACGCCCCCTCACGCACAGCGTGGATCATGCCAAACAACTGTGAACAAATCGATATTAGGTGGCACCCAACATTGCATAATTGGGCCTAACTCTGATACCATGTTAGAAATTTATGGGCCTAACTCATCTCACAAAACCGGTTCAGCAAGAGAGGTTTGCCACATTGTTTATAAGCTGACCCAAGATATTGTCCACAGGCGATGTGGGATTTATTTCCAACAATTTTATTAATCAATGCATAATACACAGGAAGTATATTATCAATTTAAATCAGAAAGTAACAACATGAAATTAGGCAGCCCCATTTATATGCCTAGTAACCGCATTATTAAACCAAGTATAAAATGTTAAATAAAACAATTCTCTAAACTGCTCTATTGTCCGTGTTTAATACGAGAGAAAATATAGCTTGCATACACTAGATCTTACCCCATTCTCTCTTCCTGAAAGAATTAAGAGCACGGGATACACACTTTGGTATATGTTTAAAGAAAAGATAAAAATGGGCTAGGAATAGTTATTGAGCCAAATATTAAAATGACAAGGTGTAAGCTAAGTAGGCCCTGATTATAGGCCATGTAGACAATCGCTCAAGGCCCCGTTTTTATGAGGGTCCAAAAAAAATTTTTGCACATAGTTCATAAAAAATTACAAACAAAATAAGATCCAAATACAATCAACCAAGCCATTGAGCCGACCAATTATATATTTTGATCATACTCTTTCTTCATTTAAGTTAAGGTTTATACAATTTCAAAAAATATAAAAATATTTTTGAATTTTTGCTAATTCTAGAAAAATTGAAGATTGCAGATGATAATTCTTTGAAGTGTTGGTATGATAAGTTTGAAGAATTTTTTATGACACAAATTTTGATATTATGGGTAAAAGTTATTTTTTGAACTGCAAACTTGAGAAATTGATTGTCAGAAAAGACCAAAAAGACGATTGAAGCGCTAGACTATATTAAAATGATGGAATTTTTTTTTTATGGTGGATTGCTTGTAGAATATTGTTGACTATACTAATTACAATTGCATCTATCGATAATAACTTCTCAAAGTGAAGTTGATAAAATCCTACATTAAGCTAACAATGTCATAGGAAAAGTAGAATAGATTGGTCATGGATTGAAACATATTAATTGTAATAGTATAATTGTTAATATTTCTATCAAAAAATCTAGAAGAGTACATTTAATTTAGACATTTGAAAGTTTTATATTATTATTTTTATAATTCTGAACATTTTTATTTAATAAAAATTTTTATTGATTACTATGATATATATGTTTTAAAATATTTATATGCCCCCATATTTGAATTTGGCATAAGACCACTAAAATCTCAGGACCGACCTTGAAGCCAAGCTGGTCGACAAGTTTGACCTAGTGTTATCAAAATGTATGGTATGCAAATAAAATTATACAAAGTAACAAAGAAACCATTTTGAGAAGTGAAAGGGTAGGTACAAGCAATCCTAGAAAAAGATGAACCTTTATTGGAGGAGATTTCATGAGAAATGTAAAGACAGGTAACTACGCATATGAAAAATGAACAAACGGTAGCCTCCAAAAGAAAATAACACTAGATTAAATTTTGGGATAACTTATTATTTGGCTTTAGTGGTTTCACATTTCTTAAAAATAAGACACCCACTTAATAATCATTAAAAGTTAGCAAAAATTCAGGATTTCATCCTTACTTAGAAAAGTGAATAGTTCCTTGAGCAAGGATTGAAAAGTTATGGTGGACGCCTAACTATACAAGACACTTGCACTTATGTAGTTATTGGAAAATGGAAATAAATACCAAATAGGTTCAACTTCATAGAAAAAGATGATGGAACCTGTACGGTAAAAGGGTTTTGAATGNTTCATAGAAAAAGATGATGGAACCTGTACGGTAAAAGGGTTTTGAATGAATGAAAATGGAATATCGCCTATGTTTGAGCTCCATTTTTCTCAAAACCTATTTTTTCTAAAACTCATTTTCAATCACACATTTTCATATAAAATAATTTTACACGTAAATCCAAAAAAAAATCCAAAAAATCACTAGTTCAAAACCTATTTTCCCCCAAGAATGGGGCTCAAACAAGGCCATAGGTGGAGACAACAACTTGATGTGAAGGTTTATACGAGACATTTAAGAAAGAATAATAGCTAAACATGAACCAAAGAGGGTAATTCAGCAATCACATAGAAGTGTGTGAAAAGTTATATAGTCGTATTGAAACCACTGCCAGAGAAAAAATTGCTTAGTCTATCTAGGCAAATCGAGAAAAGAAATCAAGATCTTGGGAGAGCGTAATTGAGCACGGAGTAAAACGTGTAATGATATATAGATCTACCATGAAAGCCAGTTATCTATTCCAGAAATTGGCAGAAAGTGCAAAAATATAGAAGAAAGGCTTACATGTGATTAATTTAAAACAAAGCATATGATAGGATGCTCAAGATAGCTTATGGTAGGTTTTAGATGAAAAAGAACTTTTACTAAATACGTAAATGTTAACGTGAATATGCATAACTTAGCAGTTGCAAATGAGATGGTACTTCAAGTCTATGTACGTACAGGTGGGTAAGCAGGTAGTTGGATAGGTGGGAAACAAGATGAGAAACATCAAGAAAAATTCATATCAAGCGCAAAATAGAACCAAACTATAAACCAAAATAAATATTTCTCCTTCTCTTTTTTTTGATAGATAATCAGAAAA